GGATTCGCGTCGCAGCCACCCCGCCGGCTTTTTTTTCCGCCAAATTATACGCCAGGGGAGACGCGCATGGCAGGCCATGGATGAAATCCGACGGTGCGATGCACCACATTCGAAGAAAACCGCTTCGAACGAAATTATAATGCGTTTTTGCTCGGAGAAAGAAAATCGCGGTGTTTAATTACTACTACGAGAGAGAAAGAGAGAGAGAGGGAACGAGTCGGGGGGTTGGGAGGGAGGGGCGAGTCACGGACGCGGAAACTAGATCGCGCCTCTCTTTTGTTTCTAAAGTAAAGTTAATTCATTGAACTGAGGTGGCTTTTACTTGATGAAAATCCATTTAACAAAATAAATAAAAACTAAAAATTCAGATTTTCAAGAAATTATATATTTTGACATGACAATAACAAATGTAAGATTTACAAACTACCTGCTACTATACAGGGTTTTTCACTTAAAACTCCGCACGCCAATAACTCCAAAACGAAAAGAAATATTTAATTTATGTAAAAAGTAGTCAAAGTGTGGGGTCAAGTAGATATTTCCTAAAGTTTAAAAAATTCGACGCCTGCAAAGAGCTGGGCGTCGCGACGCGTCGAAAAATTATTCGATTGCAGAGACTTCGGAAATACGCGCATACAAAAGTACATATTATTTAAAAACTTTTTTGTTATTTACTCAAACTTATTTACTTTACCCGTTTCTAAGTTATGCCGATCTAAAGTAAACATTTCTTGATTAATAAAAAATGTGATTAACGCTTATTTTTACAAGTATGCCATGAATGTTAGTTATTATGGCAACCATTGTTATCGCAGTTGTTTTAAGTGCAATTACAAACAATAGATTTCAACTATTTTAGTATGATTTTATTTATTACTTTTTATCGATTTAGTTCTGATAACATGATAAATAAATGAAAAAACAGTAAAATACCTACAAGTTAATAACCAAAATTATTATTGCAATTAACTACATAATAAGACATTTAAAAAATTTTGTTCAAAATTATGTCCATCTGCTCGAACACAACTATCAAAAACTTTTAACAGATGAGCTTGGGTCACTTGTAGGAGAGTCCTTCTTGTGATAGCGGCACACGCTGCACTAATTTTGTTAATGAGATCAGCCATATCTTCGATAGGTTTATATATATTATTATATATTTATACATAACGTTTTTTATGTAGCCCCAAAGAAAATAATCTGGTGGGGTAATTTCCGGGGACCTCGCCGGCCACCTTACCGGTCCATTAGTACCAAACCATCTATTGGGATATTCTCGGTTCAAATACCTCGTTACTATTTGGGCATTATGTGCAGGCGCTCCATCCTGCTGTAGCCACATATTCATTCTAGTGTCAACAGGCACTTTTTCTAATAGTTCCGGAAGTGTAGTTTGAAGAAATCTTAAATAGCGATCTGCATTTAAAGTTCCTTCGTAAAAGTAAGGTCCAATAAGGAATCCATTTAATATGCCGCACCAAACATTGATACTAAAAATTCGTTGGTTACCTGTTTCTGTAATCCAACGAGGATGGTTTTCGGACCAAAAACGACAGTTGTGTCTATTAACGATTCCATTATTTTGAAATCGACTTTCGTCGCTCCATAAAATTTTCGAGAGAAAATTTGCATCTTGGCTATACAAATCGGACAATGTCGCTAAGAAATGCATTCTTCTAGCATAATCGCCTGGTTCTAGTTTATGAACTAGTTTACTTTTGTACGGGTGAAAAGAGTTTCTATGTAGAATTCTCCACGAAGAACTTATGGTAACACCGGTATTTTCTTTTATCCCTGATAGGAATATCTTGGGGTTATTATCAACCTGCTGAATTACAGCAGCAGTATTTTCATCATTTGTAGCCGTCCTGTTCCTATCTCTTTTAGGTTTTATAAAGCTGCCATATTCTCTTAAGTTTTTACATAAACTTGAAAAGGTTTTTGCATCGGGGACTCTTCTATGCGGATAACGCCGTGCGTAAACTCTTTTTGCTTCTCTACAATTGCATCTGCATTCTCCAAACACCAGTAACATGTCTACTTTTTCCTCATTGCTAAATTGCACCATTTTCACATAATAATTCTTAGTTTTTTTTAAACCGAACAAATTTGGATATTTCTTGTGACAAAATGTGACAATTTTTTGATACAGCAATAACAACTTACGTTTGTAATTGCACTTAAACAACTGCGATAACAATGGTTGCCATAGTAACTAACATTCATGGCATACTTGTAAAAATAAGCGTTAATCACATTTTTTATTAATCAAGAAATGTTTACTTTAAATCGGTATAACTTAGAAACGGGTAAAGTAAATAAGTTTGAGTAAATAACAAAAAAGTTTTTAAATAATATGTACTTTTGTATGCGCGTATTTCCAAAGTCTCTGCAATCGAATAATTTTTCGACGCGTCGCGACGCCCAGCTCTTTGCAGGCGTCGAATTTTTTAAACTTTAGGAAATATCTACTTGACCCCACACTTTGACTACTTTTTACATAAATTAAATATTTCTTTTCGTTTTGGACTTATTGGCGTGCGGAGTTTTAAGTGAAAAACCCTGTATATACTTTAATTTAATTAATTTAAGTTCAATAAAGGAGAGTTATTTCTCAAATGTCACTAGTAAAAACTATCAAAACAAAGCTTCTGAAAATAACAATAATATACGTGCAGATAAAGGCAATACAGTCATAGATATCGATCTCCCAGAATATATTTTAAAAACCAGCAATTTTCTTAAACCAGAACTTTTCCAATGTATCAAACACGATCCTACCGAATTATATCAAAGACAAGTCAATGAAGTAATTAATTATCTCATCGGTTTCAAAAGTCACGAGAAAATGGGATGCGCGGTTTAAAATTACTTTAAAATCAACAGGACGGCTCAAAAAAGCGCGACGAATAAGACGTAAAACGCCGTCTTTTTAAAATTTTGTTCTAAATTCCTTTTCAAAATTTTCGACTTTTTTTTATTAACAATAGTACACACCCAAACCTAACCACAATTGCAAAAAAAAAGTGGTTCACTCATATTCGATATTAGTGTTATTGAGAATTGAAATTAGATGCTACAGGTTGTTCAAAATTGATGAATATACAGGGTGTTTTATAATTGAATGTCAATAACTAACGGGACGATTTTCGGGTTCTTTTTGAAAAGAAAACTTCATATCCTAAACGTCTTAACTTTTGAGATGCAGGGTGGTAAAGTTTTCAAAAATAATTTATCTTTAATACTACTGTAAATACTATTGACAGCAATCCAGAAGTGTTGTAAATTGTATTGCAGTAGCCTGTTTCTAGCAGTATATGGACATCACCCGATTTCATCTATTATGGAGAAACCTTGTTTACTTAAATGTTAATTTTAGAAATTTAGATATAAAAATTTGATTATGTGACTTATCACCACTAGATTTCCTATTGTGGCGATACGTTAAACATCATGCTTATATGAATCTCCTTACCACACCGAAAGTTGCGGAAAATACGATTCGAAACGCGTGCAGGACGAAGAAAATATAATAATAAATAATAATAATTAAAAATAAAATAAGTTAATTTGTAATAATAGTTATTGACGTGTGACGTACTTAGGTCATAAAAGCTATACGTTTTTTTTGGATCTTTCAGAAAAAATAACAATAAATAAATAATATAAAAATCGAGATTTTTCAATTTAAAATGTTCCAAATATATTTGTTTATTTTGTACACCCTGTAGTTGCATATATTTTTTAATAACGCTAATATCAAACGTGAGTGATCTACGTCAGTGAGTGAGTGATTTATTTGCAAGTTTGAAAAGTAGTATTTTTTGGAGGTTGAACTTGAATTTTTCGCAATTGTTACCAACTCCTTTTTTGCAACCATAATATCAAAATTTCTCTGCGTATAATTTTGATACAAAATAAATGTCACTGTTATTATTATATACAATACATGTATAATTTATGTTTCAATTTTTTGATTGTTTTTGAAACGAATTTGTTCCATAGCCCTTTGCTGTATATGAAAAATTCAAAAAAAAATCGCGCAACTTTCCTATGTAACTTTTTTGCTTCTATCCTATCCGGGTTAAGCGGTTACGGTATATTATTTCGAACACACCCTACGGTACGAAAGCGATATTAAATCGGAATAGGGCTATATACTTCGACCAGAAATATAGTGCTTTTACAACCGACCCCGTGATTAACTTTGTCTACTGTGTGCTGTAACCATTCCAGGACCGTCCTAGGAATTTATGTACCCACACTAACAAACATAAGTACGTTTTCAATCTTTTTTGCCGAGCAATTCTTAAAACATGTACATAAAGAATAGTACAATATTACTTTCTATTTCATTGCATTTCACTTAAAAAACCGTCACTATCGCTACTGTCATCACGTTTATTAATTGTTTGGAACTAAAAATCCATTTTCTTCAAAAAAGTACGCAGTTCTTCTTCTCCTTCTGAATTTCTTATAAAATTTTATACATTCAAAACAATTTGTTTAGCATCCGAAGACACATGGATCCGTTTTTTTTATTTGCTGCATTAGTTTCGACTACCATCACCACTTCGTCTTCAAATTCTACGATGTCTTCCATCTGCTTCATTTTAAAAATGTTAAAAAACAGGAACCTCTCTTAACTCTTAAAAATGATATATATCACCTGATGTTAAAATAAAAAAAATTCAAGATTCTACAAATATTCGTAACAGTCCATCTCAGTCATTGCAGAATATATATCTGTTGGGATACTTAAAACGTCAAAGCAATAAATGCACTATATTTTTGGTCGTAGTATACACGTCCGGGAGTGCGGTACCGCGGTACCGTTCCGATCGAGTCGTCGCGACGACCTACGACTATGACTAATAGCGACGAACCGTGGCGATGGTGGCGATGGTGGTGGTGGTACCGGGGCCGCCGCAGGAGGAACTATACACAGGTGCAATGTCCTGGCCCAGGTGAACGCGTCGAGGCAGAGGCGGGGGTATTCCGTAATACCTGTCGAACGTTGGTCGGTCGGTGGTACCTCGCAGTTCGAGTCGATACGCGGCGACGTAAGCACGCGGTACCATCGTACCCATCGTACCGCATTCGCCTGCGAATGGCACTAGAAGAATTCACGGGTCCGTTGTTTGCAATCCCGTGGACTTGTGGTGCCATCCCCAGAGCAAATGGACCCAGCGAGACGTTCCACGCGATTCGGGTTCCGCGAGTACGCATGACGTCACCCTTGTCGGTACCGGTGCGCGAGTGCGAGTGTCCAGAAAGGTCGACGACGACGACGACGGCGACGGTTTTGCGCCTCCCAAAGGGTACGTAGTTGAAATTCACGCGCTATATCGAACGGTATAGTTTGACCAGCGATCTATCGAGCGCCGCCGACGAGAGACACAATTCGGTTATTATGTCACTTATAGTGACGTCATCGAAAACGGTCCGAGTGTCTTGGCGTTTTACTTTAATTCTGTTCGCATAAAATACCGAGTATCCCATTTTGAGCACTTTTATGGGATATCCCGGGTTATTTTTTAACATAGAAAGTTGGGGCTTACGCGACACTGTGTCATTTTTTTGTGAAATGTGAAACGTTTTTGAGATACAGGATTATATAGGAAATTATATATTTTTACATGGCAATTGTTTCGACAACACCGTGTCTTTATCAAATGTAATATTTACAAACTACCTGCTACTATATCTACTATCTGCTACTAATTGATCGTTAAGCACTATATTTGAACGTCTTATTTTGTTAATCTCCATAGCTTCCAATAAATTTAATTTTCTACCTTTTGTGGCTGAATGTAAAATATCAAAATTGTCGTCGAAAATGTGTTTTTCCGTGTTTCGGATAAATAGAGTTTATTGTTGTCTGGATTTGTTTTTTTATTTATAATTTTATCTATAATGGACGGATTGTAGCCGTTGTTGTTGTAATTTTCTGTTGGGAGTGGCGTATTAAGAAGTCTGTGTATAAAAGATTGAACTGCAGCCATTGTGTGTGATTTGAGGTGTTCTGTAGGACTGTGTCCGTGTCCGAAGGTTTATGATAAATTGAAAAATCTAATTTGTTTTGCCCTTTCGTAATAATTAAGTCTAAAAAATTAATAGAGTTATCCTGTTCAATCTCGATAGTGAATTTTATAAGCTTATGTAATGAGTTAAGGTAATATAAAAAAAAATCAATCCACGTATTTATACCAAAATAGAAAATTTTTACGTAAAGATGTTCTAGTATGATATTTTCCAAATTATCCATAAAAATCTCGGCTAACAAAGGACTAAGTGGGTTTCTCATAATCAAACCTTCTTTAGAGATGTAAATCTGTCCATTAAATTCTATTAAGCAATCTAATAAACCTTGTTTCACCAATGGGTTAACCTGTTTCCGAGTTAGGGTGAAATCTACTCAATCTATCACATCCATAGGTGGAATACTGGGAAATAAGTTTTGTACATCAAAAGACAATAGTGTTGCGTTAGAAGGGATTTTGATATGTTTAATTTTGTTGATTAATTCAAAAGAATTTTTTATTGCAAATTTTGGTTTAAAATCTGCGTGGAACTTTAAAATATTTACTAATTTTGTTGAGAGTTTAACTGCTGGAGCTGTTACATAAGACACGACTGGCCTAATGGGCATATCCTATTACGTAATTCAACTAAAGAATATAATTTCGGCGGTTGTGGATTCACATTGTTAAAAAATATTTGTCTTTGTCACTAAATAGTGTGGAGTTAGTAATTACTTCCTTGACTTTTCTTTGATATAACTCGGTAGGATCGTGTTTGATACATTGGAAAAGTTTATGAAATGTAAAAATATATAATTTCGTGAAAATCTGAACTTTTAGTTCTTATTTATTTTGATAAATGGATTTTCATCAAGTAAAAGCCACCTCAGCTCAACTTCACATTAACTAGAAATAAAATCCTATTGTGGAGAATTTTAAATACGTTCATATAGGATTTTTTGCTCTAACCGATTTTTAGTTATAAAGCAAACACATTTTTTTAAAATCGTTTAAGCTTTTCATAGCATATTATGAAAAAAGTGCGGTAAACAGACCGTCGTAGAGAAGGTATAGTATGCAACACGTTCGGTAATAGTATATTATGCAACAAGTACGGTAAACGTCATATGACTCACCAATTTATTTGACACGAGCGGAGCGCAGCGGAGCGAGTTTTTCATAAACGAGTGAGTTAAAAAGTTTACCGAACGTGTTGCATGCTATACTTCTTCTACGACCGTTAGTTTTGGGGTACGCTTTCGCAAAACAACATGAATACATTCACTGATATGACCGTCAGAATTCACTAACGTCAAAATGTCAAAATGTCCGAAGTGACTCAAATTCATGGGAAACGAAACTGACGTAGTAAAGTGACGCTTCCCGCACGCTAGATCGGTGGGTAATTAGGTATTTTCCAGACGGGAGTAGAAAAAATATGTATATATTAGTATAAAGTTTTTTTTTATTCGTATCAGTAGGCCATAGTAAATCGACTAAATAAACTAAAAATGAAAATATATGATTTCGAAATAATCTTAATGAGCTAAATATTATGTAATTATAATTTTGACTATGCCTCGTTTATTAAAAACAAAAAAACAAATGTGTCAAAAATTTACGAGACTGTCAGTTTTTAATTATATTTTTTTACCAATCCATTTCTTCTTTACATCTTTATTTCATTTTAATTATAATTTTTAATAATGGCAGTGTATGAAAATTCTGAAAAATATGATGTTGGTATGTTAATACAATGTATGTTTGTTTTTCACTCGCTTTAACCGTTTTTTAGTTATGAAGTAAACAAAAATCGTTTAAGCTTTTCAATCGACAAGCTCGAAATTCAATTTTTTTTCATTTTTACTTTATTTGCAGCAGTAGGTCATGGTAAATCAACTAAATATAAGATAGATCCAAGCAGTTATTATTCAAGGGACTTAATTTCGAAAAACCAGGATGAAAATATATATTTTGAAAATAATTATGTCTTATCAATATTTAGTTTAATTCAATTATTTAAATGTGCTTTATACGTTATGAACTACTATTTATAATAATTTTCAACTAATTAAAGTTCGTTATGACATTAATTAATACTAAATAAGAATAACATACTACCTAAAACTGTTGTGCAAATTCCATTTTCTCGAAAGCAAAACTGGCACATTTTTCATATTTTTGCAATGGCATTTCGAAGAATCATTGGTCCCCTTGGAAAGTTAAATCAATTGCTCCTCGAAGTTCTACTACAGATTCGTATAGTGTTTTATATACTTCATTTTGCACAGAGCCCCATAAAAAGAAATCTAAAACTGAAGGATTCGGAGATCGCGGACCGTCATCTTACAGGGCCGTTGGTACCCTTCCATTTTCTAGGGAAATCTCGAGAGTTATGGCTCGGGGCACAGTCATTAGTCAATTCGACCATTCGTTTTTAAAATAACAATGCTCCGATATTTTAAACACCAAATTAATAAGACGCGACGAATTGAATTTAAAAACTGATGTACGGACACAGCCTACTAAAATAACAAGAAATAATTATAAAGATTCCAAAAATACAATTACTTAAAACCGTACATCGAATTGAAAAAAATCTAGAAATTAAATTTCTCTAGAAATCATTGGAGATTAAAACAAAACATTATCAATTTTCTGCCATGTAACCCCGCATCATATTTCTTTGAATGGAAAATATCTTATTCCGATTGCAATGATGTAACACACTTAATATTTTAATCCACTCGTTTTTGGAAAAAAGGCAAAAACGGGAAATTTTTACATATTAGTAAACGGCGTTGATGGTTGAATTATTGTCCAAGTCATTATTGTTAACATGATTTTTTTAGTGTGCTTCAAGTAAACTTTCTGAATAATAAAAGTGCAGCTCGTCGCCAGTATATTACACTTTATCCAGAGCGCCTGATATTTTCAAGGCTGACAAAGAAATTTGCAGAAAACGGCAACGTATTAAATGCCCAAAAAAAGTATGCCGCAATCGTAATGTTTTAAATGAAGAAAATAAGGCAAACATATTAGGATTCCATGAAGGACATCCAGTTTCCACTATTACCAGCGTATATGAAGAGACAGGTATTTCTCGAGGATCAATCCACTCGGTTTTGAAGGAATATAATTATAATGCATTTAAATTTCGTCAAACTCAAAAACTAAGTGCAGAACAATGTCAAAGGAGGATGCAGTTTTGTTTGGATTTTTTAAATAGAAATAATGAGAATAATAATTTTTTGAAAAACATTTTGTGGACTGATGAAAGTTCGTTCACTACAAGAAAGGGTTATAATAGACATGTTGGACATGTTGGACAAATACACGAAATAAAAACCCAGGGGTTCCAATCAATTAATGTATGGTGTGGTCCGATATTTATAGATCAAAAGGTAACATTATTTGCAACTCTTAGAGCACCACATAGAACAATCTATAGAAGATTTACCCCTAAATATATCAGCGGTAATTATACGGCAGCAAGGCAGTGCCCCTCCTCACAATGTTATCCCAGGGGTTAGACAGGGAACGGCGGAACACATAAAAAATCACGTGCCCAGAACTCCTTGTATTAGTGGCGTGGAACTTCCGTGTATAAGAAATGTGTGCAGGAGAATGGTGGTCACATGGTGGTATCAAAGAATTTGTTATTTTTAGTGTTTTTGCTCTACTATAATTAGTAAATAATTATTGTTGTTCCAGTCAGTCAAGGCACTCTTTGAAAGTATATCAAAGTTGTTGTCGGTATGTCAAAAACAAGTGGACTCAAATAGAAAGTGTGTTACATCATTGGAATCGGAATAAGATATTCAATTAAATACATATATAATATACAGGGTGTTCCATTAAAAAATATATGATGTAGACTTGTGTGTCAGAAAATTGAGCGTTTTGTTTGCGCTTGCGCTTGGCGACTAACCCTGTTTATTTGTTTACCTTTATATCTCCAAAAACAAAAAAGTTAAAGCCAATTAAAATGTTATCAAGGTAAATTGAACCCACGGTACATGTGTGCCAGATTTCATTAAAATATCTAAATATATTAAAAAAATTATGTTTCATTTTTGAAAACTTGACCACCCTGTATCTCAAAAGGACATACTTTGGGACAAACCATACCATAAGACGTTTCCGTAAGTTGAATCCGTAATATGAGAATTTATTTTAATATTAATTTGAACTCTGAAATGCAGCAATCGGACGTCGATTTTTCCCGGCAGTCTACGAGGTGTGTCAAAAAATACGAATTTTACCTTTAAATCCGACAATATCGAAAAATAGTGAAA